GGTGCACCGCAATCTGCACAGTACTCGTTGCCAGGAATTTGTCGCAAAGCTTGCACCTGCAAAACACGGAAATATTTCAGGAAATATGATGTTAATTATTACAAAAAAAAAAGAAAATGAGAGAGAGAAAGACTTCCGGAACAAATACATGTGAAGCGGTCGGTAACACTAATGCGCCAGCAGCATGATATACACTGATGTGGATGAAAAAAGATAGTCGAGACTAATACATGTGAAAAAACTAATGAGCATTTGTAACTGCCCGAGAAGTCCCCGCAATTCATCGTCAAGCTGCACACAATGGTCAGTCCTGAATAAGATAATGAGAGGTGTAAATCCCAGTTTTGACCTCCCATCTTTCACTATTACTACCGATACTTAGTACAGAAGGAATGACTGTAGGAATAATGGAAGAGACTGAAATTAAAAATATTATAGAAAACATCACAAAACAAGGATTTTTTGATTTTAGTTAATAGCAAGGAAGAATCGTCTACCTCAGTTTTGTTCCCATGTAAGCGACCATTTTGCTTTTGGCTCATCTGAGCTTGCAGTGATTTTCCAATCAGCTCTTCGATGGCAGCAACCCACTCATCACGCTCTTCCGGCGATGTTGCCGAAAACTCCCAGCGCTTCTGATCACAGGTTACAATTTCAAACTCACAATCATCTTCTAAAACAGTCCTTTTGTTGATTCACATAAAAAAGAGCACTGAATTAAAAATTTTTTCTGCATATTTTTTTGAGACGAATGAAAAAAAATTGAACTAAAATGACCCTTTATCGCAAAATTACACTTCGAAATAACTCATACAATCCTATATAAAGAATAAAATAGCGAGGAATGTGCGTTCATGAACTCACGCACCTTCATCATTTTTAACAGCCGATCCAAGCCGACGGTGGCCTTTCTTTTTTTTGGCGCTGCTCGCGGAAGTTGTCACAGGTGCTGTCATCAATGAGCTGCTGGTACTTGATGCCAAAGCTTGTTGCTGCTGATCGTCACTGCCACCGGATGTTCCTAAAGAAAAATCTTACATAACAAAATTCTTAAGTTAGTAAGGTACTTCCTCATCATGGCCTAGAAATGACAATATTTAGCTAAAGACGGAGATTCTGAACGCATTCCAAAGATATTTGAAACTGGAAAAACTTCACTAAGTGCTGTTAAGCTGGCAATCTATTCAAGAGAGAAAAACGCTCGTTCCGTTTTCTAAGATTTGTTCTGACGTCAGAATCGCCAATAAACTGACCAATAGACATGTGTCACTGGTCAGGGAGACTAAAAAAGCGGCCAGCTGCACGGCTAAAGAATCCATCCGCCTGTGAAGTACATCTGTCCCAAACATTCCAAATACCAACAAAAAGAGGACAAATTCGAACAGAAAATTTTAAAACTACTGCTTCCACTTGGGTCGTACAAGCTATTCGCTATTCTAAAAATTGATGGATATCGCGTATCAGTGAGTGGAATTAGAAAAAACGAAAATAATGCTATTTTTCAAAAGTCAAAATTTTACCTTCACCATTAGTACATGGCTCATCGGTGAATGCTTTGTTATCCTGGCCCGTTGATGCGTCACAAGCACTCGCAATGCTAAGTGCCAGTCGCGGATCAAGTGATTCTCGTTGCTTAGTCCCTGCATTTTTATTGTTATGCAAATCTCGACCAGGTAGCACATGAGTTTGAGTTCGGTGAGTATTTCGTGGCTTTTGACGTCCAGCAACCCGAACTGTCGCCAAACCCAAGAAAACTTCTTTACCACTGGCATCTTTTTCCATGTATTCCTGTAAATTACGAGTTTATCACGGCTTCATTGAAAAAATTATGTTGTTGCCGCAACCTCCAGGGCAATCGATGTGGGGATTCGATGTTGACAGTGTTCAAAAAAAATCAACACGCCTTTATAACAGTCGTAAATTAGATCTTTTCACGTAAAACTAAGGCAAATGCTAAAAGAAAAAAAAAAGCATTATAAAATCCACTATTATGAGAACCCGTTAGGATGCTCCCACATACCTCCTTTCTCAGATACTCATCGCCACAGCAAGTAAATCCTAAAAAATTCTAGTGGATGGAAGCATTAAATGAAGCAGCTTTGGTCACAGCAACCACAGAAGGATTGTTAGGCGTGCCATAGTTGGGAGATATGTGCTACGATAAAAGAACTGGACAAAGTTAGACAAAAATTTCACTTCCGTTCACTTTCGCAAACAGAAGCAGAGACATTCTGAAATATCCCCAGTCGCGGTACATACGTCCACAGTAAGCACTCGCTCGCAAAGCTGTCGATGGCTTCCTCTTCCGAGAGTTGCTCAGAATCAAAACTAATAGTGGTTTTTATGTACAGTACCATCTTAGCATCGAAACGAATGAACGGATCATACAGCGACTGGTTGTCTCACCGGAGAGCCGAATCCCCCACCATCAACGGAAGCACAGTACTAATGCAACTGTAATATACATTATAGGCATTAAAAAAGTAGCTTTAAGTAAACCATAAATACTAATAACTTTTCTACGCTAATTTCCAGTCTTCTAACACAAAAATTACTGTAGTAATCCATCCCCTCCTCCTTCTAAATCTGACATTCCAGCCTTAAAAATATCATTCTTTTGGTGCCTTTTTCAAATCAACAGCTTTTTCTAAGCTGCCTGCCTGGCGCCATTTCCTTATTTTCCTAAAACAATTATATCCCTTCATTAAAACCTCCACTGACTTTCACTATACCTTCAGCGTCTGGTGATACGAAAGACGGCCGTCGGAGTGAAGACAGACGTATTTCTTCTTCCATTCCTTGTTCAGTGTTTTGCTGCTTCGTTTGTATAAATGACCCTGCTTCACCGGGATTGTTCGGCCCATACCCATATTGACATCGATTGTCGAGCGATGCGACTTGTCCTCGTGACCATGATCCTTTGGTCTCTGCTAAATGAGTACCAGTTGAAAGAATATCAGAAAATAATTTTGTAATATAGATAGCCCAGTGAAAAGGCGAATTTCTATGGATTTGGTACGGTGGCAAAACCAACATTGTTTGGGCTGTCTTTGTACTAGGATGCACTATCGTAGTGGTAGTAGCCGTTTTTGTCTTGGGTAGCTTATCTCCAAATTTATAGGGGATAAAGGAACAGAAAAATCCACAAACTCACACACCCTCACACACTTACACACCCACATCCACACACTCACACACTTACACATCTACATCCACACACACCTACATATCCACACCTACACTTACATACTCACACCCACACATCTACCACACACCCACACCCGCACACACCCACATCCACCCACACCCGCACACACACCCACATCCACCCACAGACATGCACACACAAATCGCGCACTCACACACCCACACGACACACACACATCCACACGGCCACACACACATCCACACAAATCAGCACTTAGCTAAAACTGGAAGATTATAAAATTCTTAGCAAACGGAAATAAATAGTGAATGGAACCTACAAACAAATTGGAGATCCGTCGATTTTTGCGCTGCGCCGTAGGCGTCGATGACGGCGTCAGCAGATGACCCGTTGAAGTTGTTGGCCCTGAAGGAGGTTGCAGTGGAATGTGATTGTCAAATACTTCATCTTTCAGGAAATGTGCTTGGTCCGCTTGTGCTGGATTAGTACTGCATGCTCGTGGAGCACAAAGAAAAGATCCTGCACCTGAACGCATAATATGTGAGGACGATACACACAGGAAGTGTTCCAGAGAAGTGAGTTTTTAACGTTGGTTCGATAAATTTATTCATAAAACAGGACACATATAATGTATGCCGTGAATAAAAAAAGACAAAAGCACAGTGCAGGATTAATGCATTAATTTACAATGTTTCTGAAAAAGCGACCAAAGTGCAAGAATGTTAACAAAATCGTCAAAATTCATGACAAAGTAAGCTAGGACAATGTCTCCAGATTATACGGTTTCTTAGCAAACTCGAAAAAAAAATTTTATAAATTTTAGGGAACCATTTCAAAGCCTTAGGATTTTACAAAATGTATGGAACGAGTAATCATTAAAAAACATTAAATTTAAACATACATATGTTAAAAAATCAACATTTTTGGGCACTTGAAAAAGCACTCTATATTCTCATCTAAAATCTGTTATCTTTAACACTTTAATACATTTACAGTCTGTGGTTAGAGGTTTTTCGCTCTGAGTTTTTCGAAGTAAAAATGAAGTTTTCGAAAATGTGCAGTTTTCACTGGAACCATTTTCTTTAAAAAATACACTAGTCAAAGCTACACACCTTCAGTTAACATTCACTGCCTGGTCAGTGCATATTAACAACTGTTCGGAAACCGCCCAAGTGGTCTGATTCATAAACAGTACCATGTGTGCATTTAAATCCATGCAAAATAAACAAAACATGTGTTAAAACCCATGCGAACTTGCGAACTTATAGTTATTTAAAAAAATAACTGGCCAGCGCCCGAATGCCGGTGTGAAGATGCGTTTTTTGCATAATTCCCCGCAGGTTTTTGTTGCTAACGGCACCGATTTTTTTGAGCAGATGCTTTTCGCTAAGCGAACTGGAACTGGCCATCAAGACTGCAAGGGAGCCCTCCTTCCCCCTCTTAAAATTTTAGCTTTCTAGCTTTGCTGGTCCCCGAGTTAGCAGCTTGCCCGTACGTGAGTACGACGAGGATGAAAGCGCCCACTTTGGGGATAGTGCCCGTATATGTGTGTAGATTAAGTTCCCAAAGTTTCAGCCTTATAGCTTTTGTAGGTCTCGAGACGAAAAATCGGTACACACGAACATACAGACACATTTACACACACAGACAGGCTCTCGGCAACATGCGTTTTTGCATTGCATAGATGCAAAAAGCATAAAAAACTCTCTACGTACCATTATTGGAGCACGTAGCGCTATTTGAGCTGAGTGTAGGCGAAGGAGCTGGAGCTGCGTTTGTGCCATACTGGGAGACG